GATGCGCTCCTTCGGCATCTTGAGGATTTCCTTGAAGATGTAGTTCTGGGTTAGGGCGCAATGGATACGGCGACTGCCGCCGCCGAGTTCGACGCCGTTGACAACGAGGTCGTAGTGGTCTGCGAGGGCCTTAGTCGGGTCCTTGCTAAGGAGATCAACATCCGACGAGGTCTTCGGGGCCGTGAAGGGGTGGTGGGTGGCGGAGAGGCCGGCAGTACCGCCTTGCCCGGGTTCGGAGGCATCCGTAGGGCTGAAAAGAGGGAAATCGACTATCCAGAGGAATTCGAAGCCAGGGGGGGCCTCTCTGAGATCCTCAGCGATGGAGGCGGCGGCCATGGCGCGACGGATGCTGCCAAGTTGGGTTGCGCCGCCTGCAAAGGGGGCCTGTGGGCGAGCTTGAAGAATGAGCAGATCGCCGTGACTGAGATCAAGCATCTCTTGGACCTTTTCGGCTGCTTCGAATCCGAGAGGTCCCAGGCCCTTTAGAGGCTGTCCTTCGTCGTAGATGAAGATTCCTGGTGCACCATCGGGATTCTTGTTGAACGGCTCGCCCTCGGTGGAGTCGAAGAAACGTGAAACAAATTCGCGAGTTGCTGACGGTAGCTGCTCGACGGTATCCATCTTGAATGCTTCGACGATCGGCTCGGTCAGAGGGGTGATCTTCGACACAAGGTCAGCAGGCAGGAGGTGCTCGACACGATGGATCTCCATCCCATGCCGAGTATCCGGCTTGTCCGAACCATACCGAGTCATTGCCTCCTGGTAGGTCATGCGACGGAATGGGCCTGAAGGAACTGGTTCAGGCATCATGTTCCCCCACAGACCCCGGATAAGTTCCTCAACAACGGCCATGACATCTTGTCCAGCAGCGAATGCCATTTCCAGATCCAGCTAGGGGTTTCAGTGAGCAGGCGACTTGTATAGTTTCATTAGGACCATACCTGAGTAAACTCCGGCTGTCTATCGGCGCGGAGGTCTTCGTCACGGAAGCAGCGCGCGAACTGGAAGTATCTCGGGATTCCACTGGCCATAAGAATCTGCTTGTATTGCTGCGGACTCTGAGGAAGAGCGTAGGCTTTTCCCTTCTTTCTGGTCGGCACAATGAACTCACGAGCACCCTCCGGAGTCGACTTGAACAGCAAAGGTGTCTCTATCTCAACAAAGGCTGGCTTCAGCTGTTCCAGTGTCTCCCGGCAGACATTGCGCGCTTGCGCACGGAACCGGAGAGCATCACGCAGCTCTTTATCGCTTCGCAGCTGAAGGTGGCGATGCTTAGGAGGATGAACGATGTTCTTTCCAAATAGCACAATCTCACGGGGAAACTCGTTTAGGGGTTGAATAGATTCCAGCGCGATCTCTAAGTAATCGGTGCGCTCCTCTTCGGCAGTCTTTGTAACCCTCCGCTTAACTGTCCCTCGAACAACCACTGGACTACCCCGGCTAATCTTCTTGACCTGAGGCAGAGTATTGCTTTGTGAGTTTGAGAGAAGCTGTATGGTACGACCCATTGTGTGATCGTAGAAGCGGGCGAACGAGAGCTCTTTCCCCATGTCATCGCGCTTGTCCAGGTAGCCATGAAGGAGTACGGATTGGCCTTCATGATCATGAGAATACAGAGTGTCGATGTCCAAGGGCGTTTGGGGGAATTCCACTTTGAAGGCGGGATGTTAGCATTTCCCGATTGCAACTTGCTTGTATGAGCTGGAAATGCTGGAGGAATTGCATTGATCGGCAGGGTGACGAACTCGACTGCTTGAACTTATCTAAAAACTCCGACGAGGTCACATTGGAGCGGTGCTTTTCGCTGAATTCGTGGAATGATCGCACAGGGGAGCTGTGAGCTTGCAATGCTGAAAGGCGACCAAGTTGCCTGCCGCGGAAGTAGTTGGAGATCTCCACGTAGGTCGCGCGGAGGTGAGGGGGGCATCGGACCGCCCTGGCGAGATACATCTTGCTGCGCAAGCCAGCACTTAAAATAACAAAGGGCGCAGAAGAGGACAGGCACAAAATCTCCAACCGTCCTGGGGCGGGGATACAATGGCACGATGCATTTGAATGGCCGAGTAACTAATCGGGCAATTGGGAAATTGCCAGGCACCGCCGGGCGGAGATCCTGGGCAAAATATGGTACGCCGCCTTCTATGACGGGTCTAGCGCCCTCCACACTGCCAATTAAAAGCAAAATTTCCGGCGCCGTCATTTCTTCTCTCTTCATCCTTCCAAGTTTTGTAAAAGTGAGTGCTACCTTTGACTTTTGACTCCCAATATGCCCTTTTCTAACATGAGATTGCAGATGATGAAAGCCTAGTGTGTTCTATATGAACCCATCTCTCTTCCTGGAGCCCTTCTGGCTCTCCTTTCGGGGCTAAAGGGCTGATGGGTTCTGGTTGAGAGTGGGATGAAATAGGCGTCCGGCACACCAACCTTGTTACTTAACGGACGCGATTAAGGCATCTCTGATTCACACATTACTTGGTGGTGTTATACCTGGAGGAGAGTCGGTGCTTTATGACCCTTACTGGTGCTGATGGCGCCTATGACTGGGCTCTACTGCATCGTCCCAGGCCATGTTTAGTTACGGAACAATTAAATTCGAATATGTCTTTTCAACAATCTATGCTTGATAGTAGCCTGGTTATCTGCAAGCTAGCTTGTATGTCTATGTTGCTGTAGTAGATGCATCATGCTCGGTCATACAAATGGCAGAACAATATGCGAAGAATGTTCGCCTCCTAAGTGAAGCACGTGTGTTCCATGTGATGCCAGTTCCTGGAATTCCCCATCTTCCTTGAACTCTCCCCGCAGCAATGGACTGTTTCCATGCACCTCGACGCGTACGCTTTCCCCTGCCTCATACTCCACTCCCATCGCCCATATGCCGATCTCGAGCTTCACAATATCTCCAGGAGTGATGTACTCGTCGCGGTCATGTGGGTGAAAGGGGAAGTTCTCATGAATTGACTTGGTCGGATCAATGGCTCGACGTGAAGCCCGCAAGATCCCCAAGGACCCGACATGGAACATGAGATTGTTCTTCTCCCGAGGAGAAATGCTGTCAACACTGTCTGGGCTGACACCAAATTTCGCTATCGACGACCACGGAATGTTGAGATTGAGCAGAGCCTTTCCTTGCGCGTCAAGCTTCCTGATCAGGACATACACGTCCAGGTCATGAAAGTCTGGACATGACATGTACACCACTGCTTTCGGAATACCCGCTAACCTCGTTCGACTGGTGAAAGTGTGGGTGAAGCTCGCACAGTCTTGGTATTTCTCTGAGTTGTATGAGACTGATGAAGCCGTGCTGGGAGCGTCGTGGCTGAGATGGCCTTCTGGGTGAAAGTACATCTTGCGATACTCGGTGCGTGGAATCGGGTAGTTCTCCTCTGCGATGTTGTATAGCGGGTCTTGATTGAATCGCAGAATGGTAGTCCGCACCCTGGGTGTCTTTTCCCATCCATTGTCGGTGCCATTCAGATAGCGATCGAAAAAAGATGCGAGTTCAGAAGCAGATTCTTTGCAATTCCAGATATCGTACCACTCCTGCCATGGACAGAGTCGCAGCCATTTATCGGATGACTGAGTCTGGAGCCATCCGCGCAGTGATCCCATTGTGTGCACAAAACTGGTGTACGATGCTGTAATGTAAGCGGGTATGCTAATTTGGCTGAGATCTGGTCGTTTATCTTTCCAGTATGCACTGTTCGCATATGGATATCGGCGATACATCTCGTGAAAGTCTTCCACTCCTCCGTGACCCTGGATGTTTTGATCGATGATAAAATCAAACAAACCAGCATCGAAGACTCCCCCTCGTACGAATTGCTCACGATAGAGGTCACCGCATGCCTCCCATGGAGCAATGGCCTTGAGTGATGGCGGTTGCAACGCAGCGATAAACCACTGGACGATGGCCAAGTGTGAGTTTCCTGCCAGGCCCACGTTTCCATTACACCAGGGCATTTTAGCCACGGCCTCAATCACGTCGTAGCCGTCTTCGGCTTCCTGGGTGCCCATAATCCCCACCGTGCCATCTGAATCGCCAGATCCACGAGCATCAACGTTGATGATTGCAAAGCCGCGAGGCACGAACTCAGCTGGATCAGGGCCTTCGAATTTCTCCAGGCCGCTGAGCACGCCTTGCGGGATCCCTAGACCCCAAGGGAGGAATTTCAACATGCTAATTCCATTGAACTTCTTCCCAAAGGGGCTCCATGCTAAGATGGCCGGCACAGGCTTGGTGGTGTCTGTAGGACGATAGATGTCGCAATATAATGTGCTTCCATCGCGAACCTGGATACCCACGTCGTGCGACGCATGGATGTCGCATGGCAAGGGACGTGAGCCATCTTTGTTCCAGCCTTTGGGTAGGACCTCTTCACGAAATCCAAACGGCTGATAGTTGTTTCTGCCCACGGTGGGCTTGTCAATAGGACGAGTCGCAACAGGTACCGGAGAAGGCATATTGAAAAGTATTGATTGCAGTGTAGACGACAATGTCAGAGTTTCCGAGCTCCTTATGAGCAATGCCACGCGCCCCCCACTAAGTGTCTTCACTGAATACTAAGCGTGAAGTTACAAATCAACATCGGCTTTTGCTTTTCTCTCAGATTGTCGGGTTGTGGACATGGCGCGTTGTCGGGTCTGTTGTTGCGGCTATACCCCCAGCACGGCCGAGCTCGGGCGAGTTTGTATGTTCGTTTCGAACCTGCTGACCATTCGGCAACTTATGAGTTCGGCTACAGTGACTCGGCCATGGGAGTGGCGTTTTATATCTCGGATGAGGATGGGCTCGGCCGTGTGTAAGGGATAACTTCGGGTCAATTAACCTAGCTGAAGGTCCAGTTGCAGGATAAAAGCGCGCGAAGGCTCCTCTGGCCGCCAAAGCCCTCGACGTCACCGAGACTGTTCAATCTCAAAGTGCGGTTTCTTCCTTCCTTCAGAGGAGTCTATACTTCATATCTTAAAGTCAACAAATAACGAGTTAAAGAGCTCTAAACATGGCACCCTCCCGTGTCGACAGTCCGGAGCCCATCCCATCCCCTGCCCCGGGAAAGCTTCAGTCCATCCAGACACAGCAGCCTCACTATGGTGACTTTCGTGACGACTTCTTTCGCGACGGTTACGCTGTCATCAAAGGCGTGCTGAGCAAGGAGCGCGCTAGCGAATACCAGAGCGAAGCCCTGACCTGGCTTGAATCATTCGGCCTTGGCTTTGACCGCAACGACAAGTCCACCTGGAAGAAGGAAAACCTCCCACAGAGCTGGAAGGGTGGCATGTACCTGCACTTCTCAGCTGCGCACGAGAAATATGTCTGGGACGTCCGATGGTAAGTTGCCTCTCTCATTCCTCCTCTTGGTAGGGGTCCATCTGGCTAAACGACAACTACAGTGAGCCTGGTGTGATTGCTCCCTTCGCTAAGCTTTGGGGCACCGACGAACTTGTCGTGTCCTTCGACACGGTGAACATTACTCTCCCTCAATCCATCGTTGGCACCTACGACTCCCAGCCCTGGCCACACTGCGACCAAGCGCCCGAGCGCAAAGGTCTGGTCTGTGTTCAGGGCATCGTCAACCTCTCCAACGCGGGCCCCGACGATGGTGGGCTCATCGTAATGAAGGGTTCTGCACCGCTCTTTGACCAATTCTTCGAAGAGAACCCCGTCACTGGTCCCACCCCCTGGCGCACCGCCAAACATAAGGATTTCCACCCCTTCTCTGACAAGGATCTGGACTGGTACCGCGAGCGTGGATGCGAATTGATCAAGGTCTGCGCTGAACCTGGAGACTTGATTCTCTGGGACTCGAGACAGATGCACTGGGCTCAGTTCGGGACCTCGGATGTAGTGCGGACTATTGTCTATGCTACGTATACGCCGGCGGCATGGATGAGCGAGGAGGATCGGGAGAAGAAGAAGGAATTATTCGAGGGATATGAGACAACTACACACTGGCCGCATACTAACTTGTATACACATGGGAAGGCGATGGTGAAGGTGGATGGGGAGGAAGTAGTGGATCCGTTGGAGAGGGACGAACCTCTTACCAAACCGGTGAGAAGTGAGAGATTGTTGCAGTTGGCAGGGGTGAAGCCATACTAGTAGCTTGTAGTCTTAGTTATCTTACAATTTCACTCCTCTTGTTATGAATGCACTATGATGATATCGTAAGCCATCTGATGCGAGACAAGTGTCTACTATGCAGAACACTGCATATACACCCAGCTGTAGCACCACACAAACCTCTCCACGACCTAAAACAACCCATATCCAACCCATAAGTTACACCTAACACCTACCTGGGAGCTATCAATGTGATCAGTATTCGCGATTCGGTTACGGCAACATCATCCATTGCCGTCGTGCGGCACGCGCACCTCCGCCCGGGTGAGCTCGGGCGAGATTCTCCCATCTCGCTGGTTCCCTCACTTCTTCACCATTATCTTCCATTAAAACATACTTTCGGCTCCACGTTTTCATGCCAACTCCACGCTCGGACACGATGTGGCTAATGAACTAGACTCCATTACGAAGACAAGTTTTACCCCATGGGGTAGTGGATAGCGTCAGGATGGACAGCATATCAAGGCCGGAAGGAAGCGGTCCTTAGTCCAATTCCTCCCTGGTCTTTCATTGATAAACTGTGGTGGGACACAGCTCCTACACGCACAAGACAAATGTCTGCACATCGCAATATGGATGACAAGGACGTCGACGCAACGCACCATGAACTTGCTATGGATAAATCCCTAAAGCGTCATGGCAAAGGCAGTAACCCAACCGGCACAGTGAAACTAGTCGAGGATGGGGAAATAGTGTTGATTCCGACACCGTCTCCAGATCCAAGAGGTTTGACTTCCTTCACAACATGTTCTAAAAGATCATATAGCTGATGAAGAGTGGTGCAGACCCCTTGAACTACCCTCAATGGCAAAAATGGGTAATCACGTTCGTGCTGGGATTGTGTACGCCTCCATTTCCTCATCTCTCGCACAAACCAAGAGACCATCTAACACAATCATATCAGTCTCCGTTCTGGGCGTCCTGATGACCTCCGGAATGGGTCCCTTCGTCACTTTAATGCAATCCTACTACGACTACAATCCCCACACCGACGATCTAATGACCTACCCAACCCTCTTCATGGGGATCGGTAATGTCATCGCTATGCCACTCGCCATGGCAATTGGCAGACGCCCAGTATTCCTGGCATCTGCATTGGTCCTAACCGTGGGATCAATCTGGTGTGCTGCGAGCACGAGTCTTGGATCGCATATAGCGGGCAGAGATGTGTTGTCATTGGCAGCAGGGCAGTCAGAGGCTTTATGTCCGCTTATTATCCAGGTACATCCCCATTACCGACCCCTTACACCTCACACTTTACAAGCCGAAGACCCTAACCAAAGCTATCCAGGAAATCCACTTCGTCCACGAACGCAGCAGCCGCCTCGCCTGGTTCAGCGCGATCCAATCCATCGGCACAGCCGCCCTCACCATCGCAACATCCTACCTAGTAAGCAGCCTCGGCTGGAGATGGTGGTACGGGGTATTCTCCATCGCCAGCGGGCTAGTCTTCATCAGCGCATTTACCCTCGTGCCAGAATCCCGCTACGACCGACCCACCGATGCTTTCGAAGGGGAAGTGCACGTCCACCACGAGGGAGAAGAACAAGTCATCCTTCATGCAACCACCAAGAACCGCGTTCCACTCGACTTCATCAACTACAAAGCACGAACCTGGAAACATACTCTAGCCATCATGCACCCACCCGCAAACTGGAAAGAAGCCCTAACATGCTACAAACAAATGGGACAATGCATCCTATTCCCCAACATCCTCTGGGTCGTCCTCATGAACAGCGTCTCACTCGGAATCTACGTTATCGGAGTGACAGAGTACGCCTCTGTCCTCGGCGCCCCTCCATACAACTACCCAACCACAAGCCTAGGTCTAGTCCAGGGCGGACAAATCGTGGTCGCAATGATAATGGTTCCCGTTCTCGGCTACGGCGGCGACCAGCTATACAAATTGGTCGCAAGGCGTCGAGAGAACGGCACCGTTGAGTCTGAGGTCCGACTTATCCCTATGCTATTGCCTATTGTCGTACTGCTTATCTCGTGCGTTATATTTGGCCGTGCTGCATCTCACCCGACGGAGTGGTCTCCCTGGGCAATCACCACTACCTTTAGCGGGTTATATTTTGCCTATATTGGGATCATTCTTAATGGGTATACTTATTCTCTGGACAGTTATGCGGAGCGGGCAGCGCCGATTCTGGTTCTGATTTGTGCCATCCGTGGGTTTATCTCGTTTGGGATCTCGTTTGGGGTTACGAAGTTTATCACAGAGCAGGGGTTTCAGGGTGCTTTTGATATTTGTGCGATTATTGCCGGTGTTGTGGCTGCGCTGGGAATACCAATTTTCGTCTTTGGGTGGTGGATTAGGAAGGTTACGATGAAATATGCGGTTGATGGGAGGACTGCGGAGTTTTGATTAGGTTGTGTAGTATTGTTTTGTTTATCTAGGTTGGTCTGATCTAGCTATGTGATTTGACTTTGAGACTGGATGCAGTATATACAAGTGTTGATTCATTCGTGACTGTGAACAGACATCAAGCCTATAGTGCACTCTATTAGAGGGACACCTCATTTGGAAATGTCATGAGACACCCAGGGTCCAGCCAGGGGAGCGACATGTCTATGAGCTCAGATGAAAAGAGATCATCTGCGAGTGGGAATTCGTCTCCTGCCTCACCGGCCATTGTCGCAAACCGGCTCAGAGTGTTCGGTAGTATATCTCCATACGTAGCGGGACTAGGATCCGCGCTTTGCATGTGCTCGTCATTGTCTAATACCGGCTTGCTCGCCTCTCCGGTCGACGACGGGTCCGCAAAAAGAAATCTTAACGTGACCTCTGTGTCGGGAAATGAAGCCCATAGTTTGGGAGAAGCGACAAGCTTCATGAGCCGGACGAACACCCTCTGGTCGATGATTTGTCTCGATCGTATAACGTCAGATAGCTCAACAAGGCGGCGCAGAATCACTAAGGCGTCGTGTCGTGTATCTGTACATGTTCGCTCCAGGAGATAGATGCCGAACAATATCAAAGCCTTTTCTTCGGCCACTTCAGCAGATGATCGGTGCTGGCGAAAACATATTAGATCCAGAGCCAGAAATATAGCAGCCGTGACAGTGGAGCATGTTGTTGCCCAGAACTTATGGAAATGGGGACATGGATCATGGTATCGCCGAGACAGAATCGCTTTCGCGCATGAAATGCCGCTTTGCTGCACATCACTCTCTGTACTAGAGGGGCTGCTGAGTAAATGAGGTATTAGAGCAACGCACAGGTTTATGTGCCAGCAGTCCAAGCAATTGAAGATCAGGTAGCGTTGAACATAAATCCATTCAAACCCTTGTTCGATTTGAAGCATGGGTTCATCGGTTCCAGGGTAGGAGAGATGTGGTGGAAAAGAAGAAGCTACAGCGTCGAGCTCCTCAAAGGAGGCTTGAACAGTCGCCGTCGTCCATTCTTTAATGGATCTGGCGTGATTCTGCATGGTGGCGGCGAGTTGGGCCATTGCTTTATGGTACTCATATGGGGATGGGACTTTCTCGCCACCAGGTAAAGTGGGAGACATTTCCTTGTTATCTTCTGTTTCTAGCACGGTTGTGAAGGAGTCCGGGTGTATGGAAATTGGACGCGACCATACAGTCATCCTGAGCTTAGCTTAGTGAAATCCAACACAAAATGACCAGACGACGTACCAGTCACAGATCACCAAGGTCCACCAAAGCCTGCGGTAAACATTTTCATCTTTCCGAATGAGCCCTGTGTCTTTTACTGGCGAGGTATTTTGTCGCGCGTGACGTCCTCCGAGACGATCAATTCCAATCAAGCGGGCAATATTGACCGCAAGACCGTGTAGAGTATATTCGCGACATGACTCGCCAAGATTCTTGTGTACGATATTCAAAATCACCAGTGTCTGTACAGTCGAAATACTGGGCTTGCTCAAGTAGTTGGCATAGTTGAGCTCCTTCAGAGCGGCTTCGCACCAGGTACGGCATAGCTCCGTGGGTACTCTGCTTAGGAGCGATGGCTTGTAAGAAGGGAGTGACTCTTGGAGAAAGCGGACCTTGCAAATATTGTCCTCTCCCATAAAATATACTCCTGTCTATCGAAAAATGAGCCTTGAGCTTTCTCTAGCCTGACGGGAACTTACGGCCAACACACTAAGATACACCGCAATCCAGGCATGGTTCCTTGGGTTGTTTAATCTGCCGTGGCTTAGGTGGTCCCAGAACGAAGAATGGTCAACCATAAACCCTGAAGCATCTAGAGCACAATGAACCCATCCGAAATGATCCAGAGAGAACCGCACAATCGTTTCGCTCCAATGCCGATCTGGTAATACAAGTAGTAAGTGGTCGTCCCTTGGATGAAATGTGCTCCGGGGGACTTGTGACGCTTCCACCAAAAGTCCAAACGGTAGACTCTGAAAATCGTTCAGAATCTTGTCCGAAGATTGCGGATTTCCTGCAGCAGGAGATAGCCGGAAGATATCCGCCTCAAGTTTCAGCGTTTCAGGCCGAGAGAGTACGGATTCTAGCTGCCTGATGCGAGTTTTGAGGCTGATGTTCTCTCGCACAAGGTTCGATTTTGCGTCTGAATCATCGATTCGTGTCTCCTCGTCTACTGCACTATGTTTTGCATAATATCAGTTTACTGGACCATGCAGCAATTGGGCTTGAGACAGAAAAGAATGCGGTGGGCTCACACGGTGACCTTGCCATGAACCCTGACAATCTCACGCTTGCAGGCAACACTATCACCGCGGCGGATGCACTCTTCGCATGGTATTTTCTTGGAGCATTTGATCTTTCTCCGAGCACATTGCATGCATGTTCGGGGAACTCGCTGGGTCTGTCGCATAGGTTGCGGCATGGCTAGACACATGTGACAACTACACAATTGACATTTGGAAAGTAACCAGCCAGGTGCCACAATCCTTTATGCCATAAGAGAGAATGTAGCGATCACAGAAGGTTATATCCTGGCCGGGTGAGCTCGCCCGAACTCGGCCGAGGTGATTCCCATGGGCTTTGGTTCTTCGGCATTTTGGTTCCCCGCATTTTGGACCTGCAGCTAATACTTTCCGGGGCAAGCTTCTTAGAAACACTCTGCTGCATACTGGCTTGACGGGATTTAAGTGTTGGGTATCGCACGATTTTGAGAGAATAAACATATCATGTAACAATCCACGATGACGTCCTCAGGCCTTCTTAGTAGTCCTGGTGCTGTACAGTTTGTGTGGTCCGGTAGTTTTTTAGTGATGGGTGATATAGTAGCTGTCAAAATATATATCGGAATGCCAGTGCATTGTAAAATATGCTCGTGATCACTTGCGCTGGAGCAGTAAATGACAGCTTATAAGTAACTGCCCTGGTTGGCAAAGGCAAAGCTGGAAGCTGAGTTGCATGAGAGGCCAGAAAGGTAAGAGATTAGGATGTGGTTGCTTATATTAAATAGTCGACAACCAAATAGTTGATTGCAGGAGCGTATTGCTTAACTCCGCTTAGCTCCGGGTATTTTGGGAAAGGTTCTGCCAATCTAGGCGGTGTATATGGCGGTAAGGGGCAATGAGCTCCGCGTCAACAATTCTCCGTCGCGGCGCAACTGATCGGCTTCTTATCGGAGGTAATTTTCCTGTTGAGTGATCTGCCATTCTCGCGTAATACCATAGCCAGTCAGTCACAAGCAGCCATTGGTTGACTTGTCTGCTATCTGGTATCATGAGGCCATACACAGGGGCTCTGCCGCGCGCGGTACGCCTCCATGTACCGAAGACTTTACAACAGAAAACATTATGCGGCGCTCGCAACTATGCGCGGACCGCAGAAGCGTTGCAGATGAACCAATCGCCCTCTAGCAGCATTCGCCCTATGCTTAGATGCCCAGCATTCCAAATTGCATCGGATCAAAGACGTTGGATCTCGCGGAAGTATGTGCAGAAACAGCTGGAGGCCAAAAAGGAATGGAGTGACTTTGCGGACGAGATTGAAGCAGGAAAGAGGAAGAGCTTTGCACAACACCTTGAGGAGCGGGGACTTTTGCACGATGTTGTTGGGTAGGTGATCTCAAAATAACATACATATATTGACAAAAAATGACGGTGGTTGGCTAATTGGACCCTCTAATCAAATGCAGAGAACGAGAAACGTTAGACCGTCTCTTCACGCAACGGCGAGTTGGCATGTACGCTGGCGTGGATCCTACCGCCCCGTCTTTACACGTTGGTCATATGCTGCCTTTTATGATCTTGGCTTGGGGCTACGTCTGGGGCTTGCCGGTCACATTTCTGGTCAGTCATATGCGCATGGATGGGTAATAACGGAGCATGGCTAATATCTCGCAGCTTGGTGGTGCTACCGCTCGCTTCGGTGACCCAACAGGACGACTGAAAAGCCGGGATCAAGTTCACTCATCCGTTCGCAAAGCCAACATGGCGAGCATGCATATGCAGCTTAAGAAGCTGGGCCACAGCATTGATGTGTATGGCCGAAGACATGGCTACGTCAATAAGTACTGGCGGCGTGCCCTTGTCAACAACAACACCTGGTGGAATTCGATGCCTGTCATAGAATTGCTTCGGGACCTAGGCGTTCACACCCGCCTCGGACCTATGATGGGCCGGGATACGTAAGTCCACTCGTGCCCCAATTTTCGCCAGGGTGACGCTCACGAACATAGGGTCAAAAACCGGCTGTCCAAGGGAGATGGAATGTCCTTTGCCGAGTTTACTTACCCCCTAATGCAGGCATGGGACTGGTGGGTACTCTTTAAGAAGGGTGTTCAGGTTCAGGTTGGCGGCTCGGACCAATACGGGAATATTCTCTTTGGCATGGACGCTGTGAAGTCGATCGGCAAGAACCAGACCGAACCTGAGGAACGCCTCGACTTTAAGAATGAACTCGATAGGCCTATTGGTATCACAACTCCCTTGCTCACGGCTCCGTCTGGCGAGAAGTTTGGCAAGTCTGCTGGGAACGCGGTCTGGCTCGACAAAGACATGACCTCTACTTTCGAGTTATACCAGGTATGAAACATCACCTCAACAACTAGTATGGCCTAACTGATGGATGGCAGTTCTTCGTTCGCACACCGGATGACGTTGTCGAGCGTTACCTGAAGATGTTCACCTTTCTGCCGCTGCCCGAAATCGCTAAGATTATGGAGGAACAAAACAAAGATCCATCTAAGCGCGTGGCCCAGCATGCTCTTGCTTCAGAGTTTGTCGAGCTGATCCATGGCAAGACGGAGGCTGATGCGGTCGCTCTTCAACATCGTCAGCTTTTCCGCCCACGGTTATCTACAGCAGAACCAAGCCCCCTACCCCGGAAACCCGCGACCGGTGGTAGCCCCCAGTCACCAACGGCCGGCTTTGTTACTCCAGAATCTGGAAACCCATATGCCCCTCAGACCAACTTTGC